AAGCTCCCCCACCATTCATGGGGCAGTCAGTGGACAAGGAAGGAGACCCCCTCAGGAGAACTGAAGGGCTCAGATCCTCAGCCCTTCATTTTCGCTCTGGATCAAGTAGAGAGGAGCGGAAATTCCCCTTTCCAGAACCCGCCAATAACACCAGGGGCCCAACCACTGTGCCCTTTCTGAAGCCATCTCTGTCCTTCCCCAGTGGAGGCTGTGAGTCCCTGGGCCCTGCTAGACTTGCTTTGTGGGGTTCCTCTATGCCAGATGGAATTGTTCTAGGTGTGCTAGAATGTCTTACCTTGACTTCAGTGAACCCGAGGACCCCAGCTAAACTTCTACCATTTCTGCTTCTTTTCCCTCTCCTGAGAAGTAGCGCCCCCAACTCCTAGCTAGCTGCACAACAGCCACAGAGTTGAAGATTCCTTCCCAAAGTCCAATGGTTTATTTTAAGTGGAGGACCAGACCCTAGATTTAGAGTGTGCACCTCACGGGGACCCCTGAGCCTCAACCCACCTGACCTCAGTTGATGTTTAGATTAATTGCATTTTCTCTGCTAATAGTTGTCACCGTGCATGTTTTGTTTTGTTTTGAGTTTGTTAAAAACAATAGCTTGTATATATCAGACACATAAAATGTTTTGAGTGGAAATAAATATCCAGGACCCAGCCAAGCTGTCAAGGGATTGATGTTGATTTTTCAAAATGTTTGTGATTCGCTCCTAATGTTTTTCAGGCCACGAAATTCGTTTTTTCTTTCCTGGTTGCGGTTTTACTGTGGGTATTGACTATTCATTAAATGAGAAAATGGCTTCCAAATCAATCAGGAAATGGTAAATAAAAGCCTATGAATAAAATGTGTATGAAATAGCCAAAGGAGGTGGCGGGGGAACCATGGGCAGATTTAAATGTGTCTCACACACTAAGTAAAGCTTCATGTTGTTGCAGGCTGGGGCTTCTGCATTTTGCCTAAATTCTCAAACTTGGACTCTTGTTAGCTGTTATCACGGGGGCTACCAAGATATGAGAGTCCTCAGATTTCAATACAAAACATCTCTCACTGCCATGTTTTGGTCAAGCTTCTCTCAAAAAGGCTAGTCCTGTGGAAAACCTCCATATAAGCACCTCTGCCTGGAGCCCAGCAGACTCCCTTAGGAAATGTGGCCTCTGCACCCCCTAGGCCTTCAGAGCCTCCAGCTCAGGCAGAGAAAGCTAGGGCCTGCGGAGTATTTACCGTTCTCTTGCAGACTCCCAGCTCTAGCTAGCTCAGAGATGGAAAGTAGAGAATTACTGGCTTTTAGCAAGTAGAACAATTAACAGAACTGCTAAATCTCTAATACTGAGTATTCAGTGGCTTCAACTCCCGTTTTCTGAAGCAGATTTGATGTGTACTTTAAAGATACTTTTAAATAGCTCCTGTGAAAAACACAACGGGGAAAAAAGGAATCAAGAGGTTTCGGAGACCTTATCTTTAGAAATGTTTCCCATCTTGTGGGGCTCAGGGAGGCAGTGGTACCCAGAGCTCAAAACATCGGAACAAAGGCGGAGGCCATACTGAGACCCTGGGTTTCTAAGGCAGGTTAAAGGACCAGGAAACCAGACTTAGACCCAGGCCCTAAGACAACACAGAGAGGCCATTTCTTTCCAGCATACCACTGTGTTCTTTCTTTTTAGCCTGAGATGTGGGGTAGGAGGAGATATTTATGGAAACCACTCCCCAAAGAGATTGAAATTATTCTAAGTGTAAAATCTTGTCTCTCAGTGAGGCTTCAGCAGTGTTTTTCAAATCTATCCCTTTTACTGATCCATGCAAATATAAAGGCAGCGGTGTCTTCTCTTGTTTCCCAGCTGATGTCCTGACAGGGACTTGGAACCACGATGAAATTTATAAAAACAAATGCTGGAGAGAAATGATGCTGAAATCTGAGTGCTCAACAGTCCCTCACACAAAGACAAATTCGTCCTCAGAAATGCTGTAGTTCTTGCAGACCTCTTGACCAAGAAAAAGGGTTTTAAACAAGAAAAAAACGGCTTCATCTGGCATTCAATTGGCTGCAAGCTCAGAGGGCCTATGAGAAACACTTTTAAGGCCTGGGGGCTCTCCCCAAGGGAGGCGGGCTGGGGAGGCTTCCAAGGGGCTGGAGGATGGAGGAGTAATCCAGAACCGTTGTAAATATTCATGTTGGGGGGTGCCCCTTCACCCCGCCTCTCCCAGCTGCATCCACCCACCTTAGTTGTGGGGGGAGGGCAGGGCGCCTGTCCAGTAGTCCTTGGACAAAGGTGATCTCCCCACATTTTTGTTCTCCAGTCGCTTGACTAAAGGAGCCCATTCCGCAAGCTCTACAGGAAGGGACTGGCTCTGGGTGTTTTCCCCCCGCGTTTCTCTTCTCCTTTCGTTTCCTAAAAGAGCATAAATAATTAAAGTTTGGCAGGGAGGAAAAGCTTTCTTGCAGAACTGTAGTGGCAATAAATGAAATGACTCAGAATCCCTTCCCCAGTCAGCTTTTACGAGAGCTGCCAGACAGTGTCTGTTCACGTTCTCCAGATACCAGGGGCGCCCTGACAAAGTTAAGGTCAAGTTAGTGTCTTATCTTGGGTGGCTCAAAATTACCGCATCGCGTCCTGGCGCTGCGCGGAAAGCTACCACTCGAGAAGCTGCCGGCTGTGCCGGGAGGGTCTGGTGCACTCCTTGCCCTTCGAATGGGGCCGCGCAGGCAAGGACAAGGCCACAGCGCCGAGGTTTTCACGGTAGGTTCTCGAGCGGGACTCGCGGGGTCGGAAGGCTGCGGTTTTCCTTGGGTTTCGGGGTGAAGATCGAGGAGGGAGCTGGGGCCAAAGGGCGAGGCGGGTTGGGCCCAGAATGAATGTCCAGGCTTGGATGTGGGGGCAAGTGTCCGTACAAATGCTCAAAGAGGGGCCCGCTACCCCTTTTCCCTATGCACCCGCGCGCCGCTGCAGATGGCGCACCCTCCCCCGCCAAAGCGCGGTTTCAGCCTGAGCCGCCGTCGCCATGTCGTTGAACTTGAATGGTTCGTCCTCCTCATTTCCCATCTTAGGCGGTCAGCAGGCTCTACTTTAGGGGTAACAGGCTGCCTGCGCCGCACCCCGTGCAGAAAGAAGGTGCGAGAATTTTGAGTATCCCAGACACATAAAGACCCGGCCCGGGACCCCGCCGCCGCTGCCCTGGGTCCTGAGCTGCCGCAGGGCCAGTGTACAGTGTCCGGGGAGCCATTTTAGGAGCGAGATCCAGGGGCGTCGACTACGAGCCCGAAAGGCAGAAGCTTGGTCCGGGGATGGAGATGGGGAGGCAGATAACAGTGCTGGCGGTCGGGGCTAAGAAGATGGGGAACGGGCTGGAATCTGGACGAGGGTTCCATCTGCGAGAATGGTGCGCACAAGGATGGGCAGTTCTTGGGGGGCGGGGGAGGCTCCTTGCCCTCCAGTCGCCACTGACCTGTTTGCGCAGTATTCGGAGGGAAGCAGAGGTAGGAAGGGGCGGAGGAGGGAGAGTGGGAGGGAGAGAGGGAGGGAGGAGAAAAAGAGGAAGGGGGAGAAGATCGGCCAGAAAATAGATATGAGCTCTGATCACCCGCCTTTTCTCTGTCGGCATGGTGGGCAGAGCTCACTGCACGGGCACTGCAGCGGCCGGGACCTGGGAGGGAACCAGCTTCACAGCCTGCGCCGCCTGCCTTGGGCGTAGGGCTGAGGCCCAGGACTCAGTTCTTCCAATCGCTTGGGCAGAGGAATCCTGGGGAGAGAGGCAACTTCCTGCCCTCGATTCTGGGATTTGGGTTTGGGGGAGCTTCTTTCTGAGAGACTGATTTTACCATTGGAAAATGATGGCTATCCCGGAGGCTGGAGCCTAGGCCTCGCCTCGACCCCCAGGCTAGGACAGAGGGACCCGGCGGCCACGGAAGAGAGTGAGGCCTTGGGGCTAGTGGATGGGGAGAGGGGCGGTCCTCAGGGCCAAGTCGCACAGAGGGGATAGGGCAAGGAGGCAAGAGCTGGAGAGACCTCACCCCCACCCCAGAGCCAACAGACCTGAGGGGAGGGTAGAGCAGTAGGCATGCTGGCCCAAGGGCACCGCAGGACACTAGGGGAGATGCTGCGGATGTTTAGGCCTTGGCGGGATTCGGACATAGGGAAGGGGCTGGATGTGAGGTGGGCTGGTCCCAGTCCAGGCCAGAAAGCAGAGAGGGTAAGCGGGGCAGAGGCGCCAGTGGTTTGTCTCTGATGGTGACTGTGGGGGGTGGGGGAGCCAGAAGCTGGGCACCCTGCGAGAAGGACTCCAGATCCTTTTGTTCATCATACCCCCCCCCAACTTCTAGAGGGCCATGGGGTGTCTCCGATGGCTGAACACCCTCTTTGCTCTATCACTGGGAGAGAGAAAGGCAGAGAGGCGACAGGGAGCAAGATAGAGACTGTGACACACAGCTAGGAGAAAGGAGAAAGTACTAAGGGACAGATAGAGATAGAGGAAAGAAGACAGGAAAGTAAGAGGAAGGAAGAAGGAAAGAGAAGATAAGAGAGGGGAGTGAGAGAAGAGGGGACAGGCGAGAAAGAAGTGGCAAGACTGCAGAGAGGGAAAAGAAGGAGGACGGAACAGAGTGAGGAGAAGAGAAGGAGACAGGGCGAGTGGGCACCAGGCGGAGTGAGCTCCTGGTAGGGTTTTAGCGTGGGTTTTTCGAGGCTGGCACTCGCGCTCCCAGGGTCAGGAGTGCAGAGAGCCAAGTTCCTCCGAGGTTAACACGCCTGGTAGAGAAATATGTAAATCAGGGCTCCTAGCGCCCCGAGAGAGGCGCAATCACGCCCCTTGAACGAGAAGCAACAAGCTCCTGGCGGGCATGCTGCAGAGGGTGGCGGCGTCGCGGGGGAGGGAGCGGCTGCAGGAAGGGGTGTGGGGAATGGGAACCTCACACCCTCACACCTAGTCCCTTGTGTCCCGGGCTGGGGCTCCCCCCTCCGCTCTCAGCTTCTTTCTCTTCCCCCTTCCTCCCCCTTCTTCCCCCTCCTTCCTCCTCCCCGCCGGCCTGGGTCCGCGTACTTAAAGCGGCGCGGGCGGGCGGGCGCGGGCGGGCAGCCCAGCCGGGCGGTGGCAGATGCACCCAGCAGTGGCAGCCGCCGGCGGCGCACAGGTGATCGGCCTGCGGAGCAGCCTGGTGAGGGGGCTCCCAGGGAGAGCTGGCTGCAGGAGGAGACCGATCCGCCCCCAAAGCGCGCGTCTCGGCGCCAAGAGCCGTCCCGGGGCGTGTTGGCGAGCGCTGATATAGATATAAGGACATTTCTCTCCATGGCGTCACGTGACATAATTACCACCAGAATCAATCAAGATGAATTGCACGTCAGCGCCCGGTGGGGATTTTTGCTTAGTTGATCCTGGCCCAAGCCTCTTGTGCAATCGATGGCTCAGGTTGGCGGCGCGGGGAGCGGCCCGGGGCTCGCCGGCGCGCACGCCGCGGAGCCATGAACGACTTTGACGAGTGCGGCCCGAGCGCAGCCAGCATGTACCTGCCCGGCTGCGCGTACTATGTGGCCCCGTCGGACTTCGCCAGCAAGCCGTCCTTCCTGTCGCAACCGTCCTCCTGCCAGATGACTTTCCCCTACTCTTCCAACCTGGCGCCGCACGTCCAGCCCGTGCGCGAAGTGGCCTTCCGCGACTACGGCCTGGAGCGCGCCAAGTGGCCGTACCGTGGCGGTGGCGGTGGCGGCGCGGGGGGCGGCGGCAGTGGGGG